AAATTTTCTAATAAAATATATTACACAATTAAAATAATTATGCTAACACTTACCTTTTTTTACGGTTGGTAATATTAAATATTTTGAGTTACACATAGTGATAACATCCAGAGATTCTGATCCCCCCAGGTAGCTCCATTTATTTTTATAAGAGCTTGGGTGATAAATGTAACTTATTTTAAAACAAAATTAGTAACTTTTCCAAGTTTTAAATTTAATGATGATATCTCTTCTTTTACCATAACGTTAACGATGTTGAACATACATCTATGGCTAAACAAGGTTGTATTGTATTTGATTCAAAAATGCATATTTGCAGCAGCACTTAATATGTTTGTGCATTGTCGTGAGTGTTTGATAATATACCTTGAATTCCAAACGCATAGAGATGATGCTAACAATGCATCGGGAATATCATCACCACAATTTGGATGTGGTAATTTATATAAATCTAAAATGAAATATTCTATTTGTTGTCAATATAATGTCATATTATAACACAGTATGACGAAGATAAGATAGCCGGCTATCCACATCTCTGTGGTTATCGACAATTTTCAACATATTTTAATTTTGTAATAAGCTTGGTATAATTTGATAAGGGCAACAGCTTTATTAGGGATCAATTTACATATGAAGCGTCATAATTTTTCCATTCTTAAATGTAAAAGGAAAAATGTTGACTATTCATTGATTTGAAGGATATATTTATAAATATCAAAGAATTTAATCTGTTCAAATGGATTTCTCTTTTGTAAAAGTTTCCTCCCGACTAAACTTTGTGACATATCTCGGTTCTTCTCGATTCCAACTATGTCAATACAGCTTTTCTCACTAACGGCACGTTTTTGAGCCCATTTTTAAAAACGGCTAACACAATATTTTATTCTGAAAAAATATTAAGCAAGCCTGAAAATTTTGTTCATGGAAGGCACAACAAAGGTGTAGGCATATATTGGTAAAATTTTGAGGTTTAGGCGATATTTTTTTTTGGCCAAAGTATCGAGTTAGCCGTTTAACAAAACTACTTTTGACATGATTTTTTAAATTCGCTGTTAATATAAATGATAATAAAAATGCAGATAAACTTAACAAAATTTCATTACAATAAGGTTATGCCCATCTGAGTTCATTTTAGGCATAATAATGTATTTAATTATTCTTTAACATTGTGAGTGACTAATTTCGAAATTTTTTTATTTCATAATACAAAATATCTGTTAATGCTCCCTCTTATCTAACTTGAAAATTTATTTTTGTATGGAGTAGGTAAGACGTTTAAATTTTTTCGAAATTCCCTATTTTACAGCTTTAATCTGATGAAAACATTTAAAGATTTTTACCATACTCCTTTTACCCCTCAGATAATATTATTTATATACATATTTATTAGATTCCTCCTGATTAAACTATAAACTTCCAATAATCTTTATTTTATAGCTCCTACTGTAAACAACATGTATGCAAGATTTTAAATCACTCGGAAAAATGTGTGTTGCTAAAAGCTTAGAAATATACTAGAAGGTAATTTTTATGATTTAAGGGTTAAAAAAAACGTTTGGTATAATGTATATTCTACCAGGAACCTTATTCAGAAGAAGAACATATGCAATAAATTTTATTATAAAATATATCAGCACACCAAATTCAGGCCTTTATGACCGAGGGACAAAGATATACTCACGTTTATTTACATTGTTAATACTTCACACGCTTTATCACTTTCTCCCCCTAATCTCGTCTCAGTTTGTTTCAATTTCATAAAACTATCTTTTCTGGTTTTTTTTAGTATTCTACGCGTAAATGAAGACACCTCTCTAAAATTAAAAAGATTGGAATGGATGTAGATTAGAGTTTAGATCTTTCAACAATCTAATTTTTTTTATGTGAGGAAGGAAAAGAATAACAGTATAACAATTATTTAAATAATAATCATGTGTTAAGGTTTGATTCCCCCCAAAAATTACAAACAATTTAATATTTAAAAAAATAATTAATGTTTTCAAGGTCTACGAAAAAAGGCCAATGAGTCGCAAATTTACTAGCAGGCGCATTGGTTCGTGGAGAATTTGAAGTCTGGCTTTCTAGTCGGTTAAATTATTAAGATTAAGTTCTAATATGATGTCAGATCATTCTAAATCTAGTTTTGAAATAATCCAATTTAGATTAAAACTTAGCATTTACAGCTTGATACACATCTAGTTATATGAAAAAAAATGATACCCCCACACCCCCCCCCCCCTTGCCGCATTTATCCACATCCTCAAGAGTTTAAATATTATAATGAGAATTTTGCTTGATATAAGTATAAGTATTTAATAGGTTATTAGGAATAATTATTTTTTTGAAAAAATAGGTTTTTTTTTAAAGAGAGAGCATTGTGCAAAATGCTGTATAGTGGAAAAGAAAATTTTGTGTAATATTATGATATTTAAATGATGCACATTTCACGATCAAGATAATGATAATAAGAAATACATATTCTATGTACACTATACAAAATTATATCATTTCATATTAAAGTTCATATTTTTTTGATACGTTGATGAATTTATAAAAAACAGCTAATTTTTTAAATATAATTTAAATTTAATTATATAAGTATTTTATACTCTCTTACAAACTATTTTTTAAAAATAACAATACCCTTACATGTAAACCTTGCAATTCTATTAAATTTTTTAAAATAATTAGTCTATTCACTATTGTAATCAGTTTGATGAATTAATTCTTCTTGTTAGATATTTCATATTCATATATATTTGACCCCTGACTCTAAATGTTAAAACATCAAAATTTGAACAATTCTAGTTTAAATTTATTCTCGTTAATATATAAATTATATATAATATGTAAAATACTTCATCATAATTTTTAATTCATCATCATGATAAAATATAAGATTATAAAATTAAAATATGTAAAAAGAAATTTTAATAAAAGTTAGAGGCTTCCAAATGAAACTGATGTAATTCGATTTATGACTAGCGATGGAGATTCTATGTCTAAAATAAAAATTTTCCCTGGGTTCATTAGAGATTTTACGAATAAGATAACTGAGGTTCCTTGAAGAAGGTTAAATCACGCATACCAAATGTAGCTAATGTAGATATAGATTGTAAGATCTAAAAATGTATTTTGGATATGATGCCCAAGAGTTGTTTATGCTAAGATTTATAGGGGGGGGGGGCTAGGGGAATCTATACAGATTAAATTTTGATAAGATTTTGTTATTCACAATTTTCTCTAGCCCATTTCACGACATTACTACCATAAAAAAATTACAACGCGCCACTAATTATGAAGGAATTCCTCAAAATTCTAATAGAAAAATAAGTTGTTTTTTTTTAAATAAAAAATTTTATAAAAAAAAAAAATCAAAATAAATAAATCTTGCGTTACTAGCCAATGGGCAGAGAGAATCAAGCAAAGCAAATACCAATCCATGCGATCTCAGTAAATTTTAGCATTGAAACACGTCTAAAAGCTTACAGGAAATAAATCTCAATTTCACATTATGGTTATTTACACATTTTGTAAACTAATAATTCTATCATTTTCTAACCCTTTTTAAAAAATATTATTTATTTTTAAATTTTTTTGAAAAAAAAAATAAATCTGAATTTGCCCTAAAACCGGTTATAGCACGGTCTCGAGTTCTGAACGTGGCCATTTTTTTAACCCCGGCCCATTATTCCATTTTGCTAACATTTAACCATTTAAACCCAGTTTTTAGCTATACTCGATTTACCCCATGACAATATTATTTTATTGTTTATAGATCGCTAATTGCAAGACTTATTTATCAAAACTAAACTATAAACTTACGAATTAACTTTAATTTTATAGCCAAGACTTTAAGCAATATGCCATTCCCGTTAAATAGATTTTGCATAAAAAGGTTATAAAAAATGCTAGAAAGACAGTTTCTATATTGTCAATATTGTATTTAACCAAAGGAACATTTTCTCGAAAGATGAACATGAGTTAATATAATGCATCTTCACAGTAAATCGAAGGTTCTAAGGTTTCTATGCTCCAAAGAGCTAAGAGTTTATTCGCTCTGACGAAACGCTTTTCCTTCCATAATCTTCGTCTATGTTCATTCCTATTTATTTTGGTTCAATAACTTTGGGTTTCATAAGACCATCTATTCCAAAAAAAAAATGAAGAATGTCATTTCTAAAATTAAAAAAAAAATAAATAGGGATGGATGGATGTAGATTTGTATTCTTTCAATATTTTTAGGTTTAAAGGGCCGGAAGGATATGAGATAATACAAAAAAAAATTATTTGATGTAATCGTGTTAAAGTTTTATTTCTTCAAAATTTACAAACATATTTAATATATTCAGCCGTTATTATTTAAATTAGCAGAAATGTAGCCTTGATATAAAATATGTTACCTCCCACCTTACCCCATAACAACTCTACCTCATTAAATTTAAATAGTAAAGAGTTTTACTTACTTGCTTATAGCTATTTAATGGGTTTTTAAAAAAAATGGTTTGTTCTATAGGGCATGAATACTGTATTGTGAAATTTTTTGTAATATATGATATCTAAATAGTGTTAGTTCATATTTATATATCACGATCAAGATAATGAAATAAATATATTACTATATATAATATACATTGTTATATTATGCATAAGTTAATATTTGATTCTATGATTAATGAATCTATAAACATCTATAAACATCTAAACTTTTATAATTAAATTAAAAATAGGAAATTTTAATTTTTATATCTAAAAACATTTGTATATTAATATTTTATGTAAAAACACAATACCCTTTATTAACAATCATCAAAATTTCTATACTCATCTATTGTAATCAGTTTTGAATATATTACAATATGTTTAAACCACCCTGTAACAACAAATTCGAAATTAATTTTTTTAATTTAAATTACAAATATTTTATTTTTTAAAATATATTTAAATTTTATTCATTCGTTTTACATTAATTAATTATAATATTTTAAAAATTTATGATGTATTTTTTGTGGTTTCTGTTCATTTTCTCTTACCTCTTTGGAGACATTTCATCCAGAAAAGGTTCCTACTACCAGAATTACGAAGAGACTTCATCAAAAAATTCTAATACGAGACTAGGTTTTTACCAAAATCTTTAAAAAAATATATAAATTATATGTTACCGACATTGTGCCTAATAGGCAAAATATATTCTTTAATTTTCCTAGATTAATATTTCATTCAGGTGTGATGATCTTATTGTAATTGTTATCGTTTAAAAAAATAACAGACGATGCATTACCAAATTGTCTGCTTATTTATAAAAGTGTGGTGTTTTTTATATAATTTTTTGTTCGGGAAAAAAACAGATGTATAAATTGATTTAAACAATAGAATGTTTTTTGAAGTACTTGTTTGAAGTAACGATCGTAAAAATATACCTATGTTCTTATAATATATTATTATACATCATATCATACGATCCGATATTGAATTCCCGGTATCATGATACTTTTACCTTTTTAAAAAAAAAAATGTCGCCACTTAAGATTTGGATTTGGATGCCGCTATCAGAAGATTCTCGAAAGCCATCACGTTCGAAACGGTGTCGATGGATCCGGGTGTATCGAACGTGACCGAACTCACCAAATTTAAAAAACATCTGGAAGCATGTATACAAATTATTTGATCAAATACTCATAGAAATTTGTTAGGATCTTGGGGTATGACCCATAAATTTTTGTTATTCAACAACCTCGTTCCCCTTAAAGAGTTTTGGTGCAAGTTTTTTTTTGTTCAGCCCGGTCTCTAATAATTCGTTATGGAAGGAAAGAAGACACAATGTTTAATTGTTTAAAAAATTATCTAAAGCCGACCAGATCCCTAAATATTATTTGCCAAAGTTTGTCCCCCTCCCCCTCCAACTCCACCCCATTTTCTGCCCGAACAGGGGGATTTTAGGGCTTCTGACACCCCTTGACCTACCTAATTTTGTGCTATGAATCTAAAGGCCTTCTTATTTTTTCTTTCGCTATATCTTTCACGTTACAGCTTATCCATTGATTCATTCTACCCCCTGGATAGAAAGGACGATCGTGGGTAGCTTGAGCATAGTATACACTATAAAATCATTGAACCATGATAAAAATGATTTTACCAAGAAGCCGTGGATATTGCAATCTCACCAGGACGTGGCGCCCGTCTTTGATCTTCACAAATGGGATGCCCCTCCGTTTAGCGGGCAAGTTTTATTCAAACCCGAACGTATGCACAAGGTTTTCGTATAAAAAAAATATACAAAACAAAAAATAATCAAATTAATAGTCTAAATAATTGTATATATTAATATTTTTTTATTGTTGATATGGGTTGGGGTTAGGTTAGAATTAGTGTTAGAGTTAGGGTTAGGTTTAAAGTTAGAGTTAAGGTTAGGGTCAAGTTATAATATACTAGCAATAAGCTGTACATATTCTATTGGTAAGGGTTAGGGTTAGAATTAGAGTTAGGGTTAAGTTATAATAAGCAGCATTTACAATAGGAATGGTGCCATTTTTTTTAAACAATTTTTCAATAAATTCTCATTCGCTGGATAAAGATTTACATGTTAATGTTAATAACAAGGTACTTTATGATCCGAAGACTAACAAGAGGAATATCAAATTTACCATAGACGATGCGAATAACGAGAAATACTATGTTTACGGGAGGGGAACCGCGGACGCTAAACATATCGTGATGTCAATCATGGAGGCCGTCGAATACATGATTGGAAAAGGGCTGAGACCCATCCACAAAACGCTGATCCTGAGTTTTGGGCATGACGAGGAAGTCGGAGGATTTTACGGCGCTAGAAAAGTGGCGCACCTCATAGTGAACACTTACCCGTACCCGCCTAACGGGGGAAAACCTATCGGTATCAAATCTCATTGTCGCTTATTTGATTACTAGCTCATGAATAACATTGGTGAGGTAAAGTTTCTACGCTCAAGCCGACCCCAAAACGGCCTAGTCCGCCCGAATTTATGGGCGTTGAAAAAAAATTGGCTCAGCCCTTGGAACGAAACCCCAAAAACAGGGCTCAGTCTTGGAGTGCAAGAGGCCATGGAATAGATTTAGCGAATTGAATAGTAGATATTTTTTGCGCCTGAATTACAGAACCCTGATGATGATGATATATTATTTCAAAAATTTAAAAATCTATCTAGTATTGATTTCTATTTTTATATGTAAGCCGTTTAAAATTAGAACATTTTCACCTTTCTCACACTCAATTTACAATATCACGTTAAAAATGTTGCATTTTATATAACTTTTTTTATCCAAAATATTTAAAAAACCTATTAGGCAAAATATATTTTCGAAATAATATAAAATAAAGAAACTACTCTAAGCTAATTCTTGTAACCTCAGAGCAATTAATCAGATGACATTTCTTAACAATTTACATAAGAGTAAAAATTGCAAAAGTTTAATAATTATCAACAAAAGGATCAATTAGTCATAATTTTCGTATCTGTTCGTTCTTTCGTAAGTCATACAATCGATTTTTCGAGATTAATATACTCAAAGCCCAAAATTTCCTCATCAAAAATTTGATTATTCTTGGGAAAAATAGCCCCAAATAAAATAATACCCTATAAAGAGTAATGATTTATCGATTTTGAACAGTTTGTACAAAATTCAGGGATCTGCAGGCCGGCCCCTAAGTCCCTTCCAAACCAAATATTTAAAATCGCCATTTTAATAAAAATAGCCGGGTCGAGTATGGAAATATAAAACCCGGGCCGAGCCCGGAAATATAAAACCCGGGCCTAGGCCTGCAAATGGTACCTCTGCCGGTCTCTAAAGAAAAGAGAAATGAGTAAATACATTGATTTATCTTTGATAAATTTTACATTTTTTTTGAAATAATAATATCATCAAGTTCATTATAGGAGGAGAAGAGAAAAAAAAATACATCTAACTATTTACAAATTAATTTTTTAAAAAATAAATATATAATTAATTCGCACTCCAAACTGAGCCCATTTTATTTCTGCCCACGCTTTAACGGTCTAGATCGTTTTTTTCGGGCTGGCACTTCGGGGTTTGAACCGAATTTTAGGGCTCGCATTTCGCTGATAAGCCACATTAAGTGGAAGCTATTTTTTCTTCACTAAACTCCAGAGTTGTTAAAAGATACTTTTTAAATGGATCTAGATACAGATACATCGTCTAAAATAATATCTAGATACAGACATTTTAATCAAAAATCTATCTAGATACAGATACCACATTTTTATATCTAGATCCTTTAACAACTCTGCTAAACACTAAATAACATTGTAATGACACACAGTTATAATAATTATTAAAAAAAACAAATCTTATACCTTTATCAAACATTTTTTTTATTTAAATTTTAAGACTTCATACTGGACGAAGGTTTTACCATTGTTAAAGATGTTCTTCCTCAAAATAAGAAGATGGCTCTGTAAGAAATTTTTTTAAAAATATTATTAACAAAATTATAAATTTTAATTCCAATTATTTATTTAAGAGTTAGCGTGTCGGAAAAGTACGTGATGGATGTCAATATGAGCGTGGTAACCCCTGGGGGTCACTCCAGCCTTCCTACCAAAGAAAACGCCATATCGATATTATCGAACGCCGTGGTCAACATTGATACAAATCAATTTGCCTCTTATCTCGCTAAACCGGGAACCCCCGACGCGGAACTGTTAAGACGCATAGCGTACTTATTTCCGCAACCCTATAGACTGTACATGGAACACGCTACCTTATACAGAGATAAATTAATAAAGTTGATTTATTTTTTAAAAATATGTATAAATTATACAAAGTGGCCATCATTTTTTAATCATGCTTTTGGTTTTAAATAACAATACCTGACCCAAACCCAAATTTTTTTTAAAAAAAATTGGCCTGCCGGACCTGGTCCGAAATTTTTATAACTATAGAAATTAATTTTTTATAATTACTCAAAATAAAAGACATATGTTATATGGCATCTAGTTCCTATAAATAAAATCAAATTTTTTTTATATTTTACATAAAAAATTAAATATAAAATTGATAAATTTAGATATATTTTAAAAAAAAAGTCAAAAGGCCGACCAGACCCGGCCTAAATTTTTAAAAAAATTTTTTAAAGGATCATAAAGGTTAAAAAAATGTAAATTTTGTTCATTTAGACTTTACTTAGCCATTAAATATATAATTAATTTCTCCCCCCCCCCCCGTTATAACTGAATCAAAAATTTAAAAAAAAGTATGACATGGGACAATGATCTAATAAACGCTTTAACCAGAACCACCGAAGCGGTGACGCTCTTTAATGGCGGAATCAAATATAACGTTATACCCAATTACGCAGAATCCAATGTTAATTACCGAGTTCATCCATTGCAAGAACCGGAAGAAGTAAATGCACGGATTTTATGAATAAAAATTTGTGGTAAGTGTTTTATTGGGAGGGGGGGAATTAAGAATATTTCAATTTTAAAATCAATAGAAGATTAAAAAAAAATTTTTTTTTTAAAAAGAATCTCTCATTTTACAGGAAAAAACAAATTCCTGCATGTGTAAAAATGCCTAACCATATGAATTTTAGACATTTTAGGGGGTAAACATTTTGAACTACTTTTAAAAAGAAAAGGAAAGGAAAGGAAAGGAAATGAAAGGAAAGGAAGGAAGGAAGGAAGGAAGGAAGGAAAGATAAAATTGTCCGAAATTCATAAGGTAGGTTACCAATTAATGTTCTGAAATGTTATCTAGAAAAATCAGAATTTTAAGCATTTTAAAAAAATCTTGAGTAAATTATTTAAGATTAATTCAAAATTCTAACCTGAAGGATTTTCGAGGGATAAATAATATATTCCAGGAATAGGCTTACATCTGACAGAATTATCCAGAGTAATGTTCTAACCAAAACTTATAATTTTAAGGTCTACATTGTTTCAATTTTAAGGCATTTTATTTTATTTATTTCGAAGAAAAAGAAGAAAAAATATCTTTCTGATTGGCTAAAGAGAAATTCGTTAATTAGAACTCTTAGAAACCGGTTTTAACTTTTAAAAAAAAATTTTTTTTAAAAAAAAGGTTCTAGAATATGCTGCTCACACAATAAATGATCCACGAGTAAATATACAATTGGATACTATGTCTCCGCGAAGCCCCATCTCCGATTACGACACCGATGCTTTCAGGATAATCGAATCGACCATTCATGATATGTTCAATGAAACTATAGTTGTACCAAGTTTATAAAAATAAACGAGTTGATCATTGATCGCTAAACCCGTAAATTATGTAAAGATCGAATCTGATCTTTAGTTTTGACCGGACCGATGCATGCAACCCAGACCGGAACACGGTTCTCGGAAAAAAGAGCCAGTTGAAACCACCGGTCCCTAAGATAAAAGGACCGTTCATATTTTTGTTATTTTTAAAAAAAAAATATTTCCCAATTTTAACCCAGTAAATATTCAAATGAAATCATTTTATTTAAATATTATAAAAATATTTTATGTTTAAAAATATCAAATTTAACCCGCGATATCAGAGGAGAAACGTAAAAATTTTATAATTATGATTAAGTAAGGGCAAACGTTTGCATTGATTATACGATCATCTTATTTAAATCTATTTTTAAAACGTGTAAATTTCATAATTTTCATAGCTTTAAACATATATAAAAAATTTTTAAAATAATTTTAACTTGATTTTTGATTATAAAAATTTATTAAATAATAATTATATATTTAACATTTAAAAGTTATCCAAGTAAACTTAAGGCAATTTATTTTCTTAAAAAAAATACATTAGCGCCCTACTATAAATTTTACAATGGGCTTATATAATATTTTGGTATAATTACTAACACAATATTTTATTCATCCATATACCAACGCACAAATAAAAGATAGGATATAAAAATATATAATGGTCCCGGATATCCCATTCTAATAGATGCTATGGGTGTTAGGTAGTTAATTTCACCCAATATCATATCTAATTTGACGATTATAATAATATTACAATATATTCCTAAATTATTACAGGGCTACATTTAGCTCTACCTTAACATACACTGCTTCTCATTTTAGAACACGCCTATAATTTTATATAATAAAACTAACACATCAACACCTCATATAAAAAAAATACATATTTATTTTAAAATATTTTAAAAAATTATTATAGCAACACGTAGTATAAAAAAAAATATATAACTAACTCCCCTAAGAATGTTTAAAATGAATATTTATATATTGACACACCTAGTCTTGTTATTGAGACGATTATTCAAAACGGCTAACTCAATATCTGCCAGAAAAATATTGTGCCTAAGTCTAGAGATTTCGATAATATAATGTCTGAACCTTTGTTTCCTTCTATGAGCACAATTTTTAGGCTTGGGTAATATTTTTCTGGATGAAATATTGAGTTAGCCATTTTTAAAAATAGGCTTAAAACCGTTTAACAACTCTAAACATACACATACTCACCTCACCTCCTCATTCCCCTTTATTATTCCTTGCATTTCGTCTACGAGGAAAAACCTTTTGATATAATTATATTTTTTTATATATTTAGCGATTTTGGTTGGAGGCACAGATTCCAAGCATTTTGCCAACATCGTCGACAATGCGTATAGATTCTCTCCTCTGACGATAGTCATGGACGATATGTCAAGAATACACGGTATCAATGAACGCATTTCCGTCGCGGATTTTTATAACTGCGTGAAATATTATTTCAACTTGATCGAAAAAGTATCCGGATTCAAGATGGTCTCTAATTAAACAAACAACATTTTAAAAAAAAAAAAAAATTTTTTTTTTTTTTAATTATTTTAAAATATCATGTAATTAAAAATATATTAATTTTTTTTTTTTTGTCATTTATATAAGTGTTTTTTTTTTAATAAAGAAATAAACGATTCGGCCATTTTAGTTGGGTCACGTGATACTAATTTTTGTTTCGGAGTTTTCAAGAATCTGCACACTAAAAGGATTCTTGTTTTATCTAGAAGGGTTTTTCGATTTCCGGTTTGTCGTCGAAATACAAATGAGCTGGCGATACGCCATTTTGTTTTAAATATATAAAATTCTTGTTTACACATAAAATGAAACTCCGAGATTTTTTTTATTAAAGTTTTTATAAATAATTAATTATAAAGGGGAGCCTAATGAGGTGTCACGGGCTGATTGATCTGTATTGATAGACACATTTTAAAAAGCGTCAGTTTATGCAGTATTATAATGTCATTGCTATTAACTAATTTGTTCGCACTTTAGTTAGATGACTTCTTCCTGATCTAAGCCTATAAATTTTTGAGAGGGGAGTTCCGACGTCTATTTCCGGTTTTATTTCCGCAATCTCTGAATTTTTTGAGTTATATCTATACAAAAAAATCAACTCTATATCCGTACAAATAAATATATTTGGCGGGAAATTTTGCTAATGAGATCAATTTAAGAGCCCCCAATCATAGATCTTCTATTCAATCTTAACCTTAGTATCTGAGGAGGCTAAAAAAAATGGTGCAAGTTGTGCAATCGAATTGCAGCGTATTCCCAAATTATCTTATCTTCTTATCATATTTTCCAAGGATGCCACGATTCAATTTTGAACTGTTTCATGCGGTCCTCTGTTAAAATTCGTCGAAGCTAGAAGCTAGAGATCGAAATAATTTTTTATTCTTATTTTGTCTCTTTAAAACAATACGGTATATATAATTTTTAAGTAAATATTTATATATTCTTTAAAAAATAATCATTTCTATTTAATAATATGCCTTTCAAAAGAATGATTTTAAATTTTTGATAATCTATATTATCACAGGGCTTGTTAAACGATACTTTTAGAAGTAACGAATTATTTCACAACATTTTCATTTAAAAAAAAAATGTAGGATAGCATGCAACATTTACATGATTTTAAAATTAGTTATTTCAATTATTCAGCCAACCTTAAAGGGGGGAAGATATAAAGATATTAAAATATCCTACCAGAGTTTTTCAGAAACATAATCTGGCCCATGGCTGGAAAAATTGGAATCTGAGGGTGAAGACTCCAACAAATTTAATAATTCCTCCCCCTTGGAAAATCTTGATTCACTGTGGGATTAAGATTCAAAAAAAAAATTAGTTAAATTTAAATACATCTAACTTTATCACCTAAATTGGAAAAAAATAATGATATTTAGAATCAATAATATTTTAATAAAAAATCAATATTAATACCATATTTATAATGTTTCACTAAGGTTATTTTTTTGTGTGTCCAACAAAGGTTTGATTGACATCTATCTATAAACGAAATTTTTGAGATTTAGGCAATAGTTTTGTGGTTAAAAGATTGAGTTAGTCGTTTTGGACCAAAAGCCATCCCAACCAATGTTTTAAAAAAAAATTTAACCCGCCCGCTCCGCCTAAAATTCCTTATCCGTCCGTCCGTCCGCCCGCCTGCCCATTGGTCTAAAATTTTTTTACAAATTGTATACTACTAAAATTTACATACCATCGATAATTTCTTTTTATATAATTTTCGTTTAATTTACTTACAATTTTTAAACATTTCAATTATCCTTTACAAATTTTATATTACAAATCAAAAACTGTTTCTCTTAAAAATTCTAATTAAATTCAATTGTACTGTTGTAAAACGGCTCGTTTAAACCTATTTTTTAAAAAGGGCTAACTCAATTATTTTATTCCGAAAAAATATTATGCAAGACTGAAGATTGCAGTCATAGAATGGAAGGAACAAAGGGTCCTAGACATATATTATCTAATAATCTAGGGCTTAGGCGATATTTTTTCTGGCTTTATCTCGTATGTGCAGGAGCAATCCTGACAGAGTTGGCAGTGATCAAATAAATAAATTTTTTTGAAGTGAATTTGATTTTTGAAAATTTTTACCCGATGGATAATATTTAAATGTTGAGTTTTATAAATTAATTGAAACAAATTTTATTATGATGATAAATTCTAACATATTTTAGAATGTCAGGTGGCAATCAAAAAAAAATTCTAGGATTAATGTAAATTTAGAAATTCGCTAGACAGAAATATATCCAGAATTTGTGGCAACTTTTTCAATCTTTTACATTTGGTGGGATGCGGCAAAATGGCCATGTTTAATGACTGACCAGCACCCTTTAGAATTTTTAATCTATTGGAACGATTTTTCTCTTAATTCAAATATGTATATTCCTATATATCACCCCTTTTCCCCTCCCCCCCCCAAAGGAAGGAACCACCAAGTTTTAAGAAAAAAAAACATGATCATTGCCGGGATTCGAATCCACGACCATCGGATTGGTAAGCGACGCTCTTGCCGACTACGCCAAAAAGGCTTTCCAAAAATCACGATTTTTTTTCAAATATATGCTATAAATAAATTTGGTAGTGCCTATCCAAATGAAAGATAAATCAAAATACGAATTTGATAGGTAAATACCTTAAGGTAAGTAAGCATCATCCAACCAAACAACGATGAATTCATTGTATGCAAGAAAGAATATTGAAATAGTTAAGTAAGAAAGGGGAAGAATAGATTTATATGCATTCATTGTCAAATAATGGGCGCATGCTCCGTGTAATAATAATGATGATTTATTTATTGTTTATTTTGTAAATAAATATTTATTTTGTAAATAAATAGATCATAATTTCCTCATTTAAGCGAAGTCACAAAAATAATACGCAGCTCTTTGTCTTATGTACGAATACCAATTTGAGCCCAGGAATATACGAAAATTCTTTTTCAGTAGTGGTGTCTAAATCATCAATTTTTTTTTCGTCTTGCGCCGTCTTCGGTGCCATGCCAAGGGAGCGTGCAGGAATTATACGGGACTCCTTCCCTACCAGCTGTTAACTAAACTGTTGCCCCCTTCACCCACCATGTTGCAATTTAAGATCAGGGATTAGCTCAGTTACAACTATAATGCCTTTATACAAGGAATTAAACGTGAAACAACGATTTAGTTAGCAAAACAAAATAAACAAATGTAAAGTGTAACAAAATATAAAAAAACGTGATAATACCAATGACATAATAACAAACCTAGACTGACGATTCATTCATTAAAAGTGTACATCAATACAAATCAGCTGAGGTCGCCATCTTGGTTGCAGTAATCATTATTAAAATTTTAAACGAGAGTCTAATTTAATCCTATATCCGATCTCTTCATCGAGATAATTAAAGAAGCAAGTTATCAATTTAATAGCAGTTTTTTTAGCATGAGAATAATTACCATGTGGGTTGCCAAAATGGCGGACCCAACTGATTTGCTTTTAACGATGCTTAAAAATGCATTAATGAATGAGATCGTCAGTCTAAGTATTATATATGTCATTTTCATTAGATAATACAAAAGGTAATTTTTCGTATACTATTTTTGAAGATTAAAAACCAATAAAATCTTCTTTTTTTTAAAAAATATATATATATATTAAATCAATCCAGTATAACATATAATTATTTAACAGAAAGAAAATTAATATATCCATTTACAATAACAAATTTTTACATTTATATAACGATAAATTTATTAAATATTTGATTTATAGCCGCACAAAAAACAATATAACAAACAACACCATAAAAATATAAATTAGAATATATATAATATTAACTACTAAGTGATCTGCATTTGGCCTAATTTTTCAAGCCTGGCCCGGCATGAAACCCGATTTTTCTTTGAAAAAATTTACCGGCCCGGCTCGAATTTATTTAAATATAGAAATCTATTTTTATGATAACTCGAAATACACGACATACGTTATTTGGCGTCTACTTTCTATAAATAAAATCACATATTTTTATTTCACATAAGATAATTCAACATAAAATTGATAAATTTAGATATATTTAGAGAAATTTCTAAGGCCCAAACCGACCCGGCCCGAACCGACCCGGCCCGAACCCGATAAAGCGGATCTCGAATATTAACTACGATTATAAAATTAAAATATAAACAAGATTGACCTATTCATAAATTGGTTATATATAAATGTTTAGAAACTTTAAAGTCATTTCTGAACAAAAAAAACATTTTTGGGAAATATTCTATTAAAAGATATTTTTAAATTTTTTTTTAATGATTTAATTGAATATTTTTTTTGGTTACTTTTAATGATTTAATACTTTTAATGTTTTAAAAAGATTTATAAAAAATATAGTTTTTTTCGTTTGCCTAAAATCGAGTCTACATGACGAATGTCTCATAGTTTTCACCTTGTGATTTAACTTACTCATTACGAGTTCGTGTAAACTGTATAAGAATAAACCTTGCCAATCGATTGTTAAATTAGTTGCTATTATAATTAGTTGCTATTTAATTATAATATTATTTGTATTTTTATCAAAATTAGTTACTTATAAAAACATAGATTGATAATTTTTTTTAAATTAAAAGTATTCAAATCACACATGATTCATTGGTAGATCAGACAGAACTCGTATCCTTCTCGAATAATCTCGATTTACACTTACCCCCCAAACGCGCTAAGATTTGCTATTGGACTATGGCTTAACTACGAGATTATATTGCCCCGTGAAAACAATGTAAAAGCAGTGTTGATCTAAAGCGCATGATTTATCTGAACTGTGGAATTTGCATGGTCACTTTTCCCATTGGCATTTACCAAATTCAAAAGGCTATTTTATTTTTGCGAGTCCTTAAACCGGCGGTTATCCCCCATATAAATTAATCATATTTATTTTAAAAATATGGCGCACCCCATCCAAAGACCCGCCATAATAACGGAAGTAAAATATATGGGGGAAGGGGAGACGACCAATAGTTTACCTCCCCAACACCCACCAGTCCACTTCCTGCAAAAAATAATACCAAATAGGTATCATTAAACGTAACTTGGTATAGTTAGGAGGAGGTAAAAAAATAGGTTAGAAATTTATGCAAATTATTCAGCTAATAAAATCAGAGTTGTTAAAGGATCTAGATATAAAAATGTGGTATCTGTATCTAGATAGATTTTTGATTAAAATATATGTATCTTTTTAGACGATGTATCTGTATCTAGATCCATTTAAAAAGTATCTTTTAACAACACTGAATAAAATACATGAATGAAATCTTTTCCACTCTTCCAATTCAACTTCTTTTGAATTTTATAAAAAAATAATTATAGATACGTTTTCTTTTTAACTGTTCTTTCCGTTTTGATCTTGACTAATCTAACCTCTTCCCGATTCCAATGGAAATCTCAGCACCCACCAGGTTAGGCCCAACCCAAGATTATAATTCCCCGACCTGGTCATCAAAATATATTTTGTAGAAGTTGTCCAATTGGGCCGTTGAAAATATTTAAAACTTACGGCTAAGCCCCCCGGCCTTTAAAACTATTTTGGAAAAATTTGATCCAGCCCTGTCCCGAAAATCTATTTCCTGGGCCGGCTTGGCCCTCGAGCCAGGCTTTCGAGCTATAGATGGGGGCCAGGGTTTATGGCAGCTTCAGTCTCGTGGGTTGTATTTCGAGCCAAACTTTGAGCTTAGGACCCGGCAGCGCCGACTCTGAAACGAAGAATCCCTTCTATCACATTATTTAAAGATTGGATTATTACTCTTTTCATCAAGATGTGGCTCCCGTCTTTGATCTTCACAAATGGGACGCCTCTCCGTTTAGCGGGCAAATTTTATACAAGCCCCAAAGTTAACACAAGGTTTAAAAAAATTTATATTATAAAATTGCAATGGGTTACATTGATCTCTATCACATATATTTTTCGCAATTTTTCCACAAGATTATAATTATATTCCGTTATTAATTGGATACTTTATGACCGAAAGACCAACAAGGGCAGCAAGAAATTTTCGGTAAGTGATCGGGATAATAAGAATTACCATGTATACGGAAGGGGTACTACCGACTCAAAGTATATTATTATGGCTATCATGGAGGCTATCGAATATATGATACTTTAAGGACGGAGACTCAACCATAAAACACTGATCCTAAGTTTTGGACATGATAAGGAAGTTGGAGGATTATATGGCGGTAAAAAAGTTGCCCAAATGTTAGAGAACACGCACGCGTATCCAACCGATGGAGGAAAACCTATAGGTACAAAGTCTTATTGCCTCTTTCTGATTAATAGAAGCCCATTTTGTAATACAGCTGATTATATCTGAGGAGGGTATAGGGTCAGCAGATGCTCCAGAACATGCGAGATTAAAAATCGACTCCCATTTTGTAAAAATTTATTCAAATTTTATATAATTATAATTATTTTATCTAATACATTATTTCAATTTTTAGACTTTTTATTGGATGAGGGACTAAACAATTCTTCCTCAAAATATGAGAATAGCTCCGTAAGTGAATATTAATTTGTTAATCTTTATATATACCGATCCTGAAAAATTTCACCCAACAATATTAGAGTTGGCGTGTCGGAAAAATATTTGATGAACGTCAATATAAGCGTGACGACAGTCGGGGGTTATTCTAGCATTCTTAAAAAAGAAAACGCCATAACTATATTATCGAATGCTTTGGTCAACATCGATTCGAACAAATTGCCTTTGCTCATTCAAGAACACCAGACATAGAAATTTTGAAACGCGCCGCTTACATCCGCAACTCTATTAACTACAAAAGAAAAACGCGACCTTATATAGAAAAGCATTAGAAAAGTTTATTTTATAATTTGAAATTGCTATCATTTTAATCACCCCCAGTTTTAAATATCAATTTATGCTTAAGTATAAAAATCAAAAAATGTTTTTATTTATTATAAATTATTACCTCGTTTGAAATTAATTATTTAATAATTATTATACGAAATACTTTATTGAAAATCCCTAAAGTATCACATTGGATAATGAGATGATAAACGCTCTCACTAGAACTACCGCTGCATAGCTAAGGGTGGAATCAAATACAATGTAGTACCCAATTATGCGGAAGACAACCTCAATCTCCGAGTTCATCCTTTGCAAGATCCCGATGAAGTGAAACATCACTCTAATCAATTTAATTTAATAACGAGTTTGCAGGAATTCTCACGTGTATTTTAGGAATAATTAAATTTTAAAATCATTCTATCTCTTCTCTTCTCTTCTCTTCTCTTCTCTTCTCTTCTCTTCTCTTCTCTTCTCTTCTCTTCTCTTCTCTTCTCTTCTCTTCTCTTCTCTTCTCTTCTCTTCTCTTCTCTTCTCTTCTCTTCTCTTCTCTTCTCTTCTCTTCTCTTCTCTTCTCTTCTCTTCTCCTTTTTGCGTTTAAAAAGTATGCGTAATATAGTTGCCCCATTAATTATTGCCATGCGCTACTACCAAATGAACTATTAATTATTTAATAATACATCCTTATAAAAGTTTTTCGTTACTAAACTTTAACATCATTTTATTTTAACTCTAAAAACATGTAAAAAAATTTTTTTTAATTAAGTTAATTTTATTTTCATGATTTTAATTGATAATTTAATAAGTTTGTTAATAAAATCATTTGTAAAACTAGTTAAATACCAAAAATATCAAAACTTAAAATAAAACTTTAAAAATAATTTATTTTTTTATTAATACATAAAAAAGGAAGGAAAGAAAGAAAGAACAAAAAAAGTGATTATTTTTAAATTTTCTGAATACAAACATTGGTAATCTAGTTTATTTTTATCATAAAATAATTTTTAACACTTTATATGAATCAGTACATCATATTCATATATGTCACATTTATGTTGCACTTTTTATAACTATCTTTAAGATAGTCTATAATTCACTTATGTAGCTTTACCCTTTCGGATTGAATCAATTGGTCATCTTGCATGGGTTTCACAACAAATCTTGGGAATAGAAGATGAGAAACATATTCCCGGCTTACAACACATTAAATTAAAAGTTCGAAAATTGGCTGCCATCACCATCATTTTTTTGTGCAATTCGTGACCGAAAATGAGTTAAAATTCTATCTAATAATATATCAAATTTTACTATGTTGATTACATGTAACAATCATTTAGTTATTCCATATTAATAAATAATATTTATAACCCCAGACTAGGGTTATATTCCTTGATATATTGCATACCAATGTTAACCAGAATACAACTGATTCACGTTTCTGGCACTTTTTACGCTGATTATTCCTTTACAAAATAAGCCTTTTATCATAACATTTTGCATTAATATGTGTCATATACATGTTTTTTTAGCTTAGAATATAACGTGTTTGGTTTAAATTTAAATTAATTTCTTGAAAAAGATTTCTAGACATATTCCTGGGGGTTGAACCTACATTCCTTATCCTGACATCAATATAATTTTTCCTGAGGGAAAGAATACTTATATAGGATAACCACCTATAAAATGTTCCAAACCCACAATTTTTGAAATTTTCAAAAGGGACCGATATAATTTTTGATTAGCACACGTAAATTTTATAGATATGATTCTCCATTTATATCAGAGAAAGATTGTTTTAATACTATTGGCTCGTTTTCAAATAAAATTATTATTGGTTATCTATTACTATTTCTTTCCAATTTTTTTTAGATTGCATATTTTTTTTTATCATATTCTGATTATATTTTATCTCAATTTCTCCTACCAAATCTTTTAATCTCTCTGGCGGAATAATTTTGATTGTTACTCCTCTCAATCTGATATTATCTGGTCGCAAATGTATACAATTTTACGTAACATCTACGAGAATTTTCTAAAATCAATGCCTCTAATTGCAGCTATTTTAAATTAAAAAATAAAAAATTTTCAAGCTGACACTTAAAAGATTTGAATTTAGATATCGTCCATTTATACCATCGTTTTAAAGAAAGGAACATATAAAATAATTTCACTACCATTTATATCTTACAAAATAAACCTCTAACGCCAATATTTCTAAAGTTATAGTTTAGGAGATGAAGTATCGAAAGAATTTTTATGCTTCAAAAAATTAAATTATTTAAAAACATTAAAAATAATCCTAAATAAAGGTTTTGAAATATGTTGCTCAAATAATAAATGACCAAAGGGTGAAAGTGCAACTTAATACCATGTCTCCAAGAAGTCCCATATCCGATTACGACAACGTTGCTTTCAGAAAAATCGAAGAGATTATTGAAGATTATTTCAATAGAACCATAGTCATACCAGGTTAATATATTATTTGCAATAATAAAAGATATGAGGATAATTTTTTTTTACATTCCTAGTGAAGTGCGATAGATTATTTCAATTGTCCATGTAGTAAACAAAGGCCCTTACCTAGAATAAGCCCATTATAATTTTTACGAACCGCGACCGAACCAAAAAAGTAATAAAAAAACAACAAATTGCTATTTAAAAAAATTTTTTAAGAACTATATATTATCATTAAATTTCATGATTAAATAATGTATTTAATTTTATAATGCGATTTAATTAAATATTGTGGGATTTTCTAACACATATTTAGATGTTCTATTTTTAAGTGATATATCCAATGACATAATTTTACCTAGAACTGATGATGCATTCATAAATAAGGCATTTTAAAGCGTTCGTTGAATCCAAGTCCCGCCATTTTGGTTAATCCATATAGTAATTATTCTCGTGTTAATAAGTACTATTAAATTTATAACTTGCTTCCTGATTATCTCGGTGATCAGGCAATTCTTTAATAACTTGCATCAGACATAGGAATAAATTAGCCCTCATTTAATATTTTTAATAAGGATACAGGTAATCAAAATGATGTCCGCAGCTGTTTTCATTGAAGTAACACTTTTAATGAATGCATCGTTTGTTCTAGGTATTATTATGTGCCATTGGATATGTCTTAAATTTTCATCATGCGTATTTTAATATTTCTTTGATTAAAATAGTTAATATCGTTTTTAATGTATCTATCTATATATGATATCAATATTTTAAAAAAGTTCTTACACTAAAAATAAATAACCTTTAATAATTCTTCTAAAAGTCAGTGATCTAAATCCAGCTTAAAATTTAGGCAGTTGAAACCCTTATAGCATCGAAACCTATTTTTTTTGTAATTGAACTGTAATCACCCGGCAGTTTTATGGATAATGCTTAGCACTTTGTATATATAGATATTATGAAAAAAAGTTACTTTTTTTAATATTACTAGTAGCATATAATATAATTAAATTTCTTTTCAGAATAAAATAAACTCTTGGACGTTTTGAATTATCTATTAGTATTAAGCAGAGTTGTTGAAGCATCTAGATATAAAAATGTATTTGTATCTCGTTACATTTTAAAAATTGTACTTGTATGATAACTCTTTAGACGTTTTATTTTTATTTCTAGATCCATTCAAAAAGTATCTTTTAACTACTCTAGTTTTAGATATAAATACTCTCCCCCCCCCCCATTATTCATTTTTCGAGATCAAACTTTAGATATATATAATGATTTTTTATTAGCGATCTTTATCGGTGACACGGATTCTAAGCATTTTTCCAGAATCGTCGATAATGTATACCAATTCTCTCCTCTAAAAATAAACATGGATGATGATATATCAAGAGTACACGGTATCAACGAAAGAACTTCCGTCGTCCATTTTTACAATTGCGTTAAATTTTATTATAATTTGATCGATTTTGTGTCTGAGGGGTTGGAAGATGATACAAAAGTTTCAAAAATGGCGGCTAAAAATGTTAAAACGGTTTCAAAGGACTCGGCTAAAAACGGGAAATCGATTTCAAAGGAAACGGATAAAAAAGGGAAAAATATTAAACCGAAAGAGAAATAATATTATCGCCATTGGTCAAAATAATAATTATTTATATATTTTTTTAAAATATATATTTAATTTGTATCGGTGTCGCTAAATTTGTGTTTAGATTTATACATTTATCAATAAAAAATATAGTGATGGAAATAAATTATGTAGTCATCCCAGTTATGTTTTGGTAACAAGTCATTTAGAAACAATATAATAAAAATTAAGCGAACCTATGCTAGATAGGCTCTGGGTGCGGTTTCTATAGGAGGGATGTTTTCGGTTAATTCCTCTTCCTTAATTTGTCACTGTTCTTAGGGCTCCGCGAGTTCTTCTTCCACTTCTGGTTTCCGGTTTTTATTTAAGAAATATTTTTTTAAAGGTTTATAAAATTTTAAAATTCTATCGACAGGGTATTAGGAACATATCGCAACCAAAATTGTGCTGACTCAATTCTATAAATACATTTTGTTTTCACCAAATTCACTGAGGCATATCAGATCAGATGACATGTAATTTATTGATAATCTCGTATCTGCTGCCATTATATGGTTAGCTCTGTCTTTGGATTTTTCACTATTTGAGGAGAAAAAATTTAATAGTTTTATTGAAACGACCTTAATTTTGTTAAAATAGCGGAGGATCAAGGTATTAAAATATTTCCCTTATTAGATGCATCTGTTAGAATTGCATATGTATGCTCATCTTTCAAATCGTCATGAATTGACTTCCTGGATTTAGGTATCTCTGTGAATGTTGTACTACAAGATAGGTGATTACAATTGCCGCAACTGTAGTTGCATCTGTATTATTTCTTATTTTAGAGTACCTTATTATGTATTTAAACTTGATAACTGATAATTAAGGCGTCTATCCCTATAATGTTATACACACACACGTTAGATTTCCAATTGCGGTCGTTTTGCGGGACATTCGCATAATATATTTTTAATTGTAAAATTAAAATCAATATTTTTAATAGAATTTTATCTTGTTTACATACTTTTATATTTAAAGATCGTTGGTTTTTTATATTATAAATTATTATATTTTAATAAATCAGGATGTTATTTTATTTTATAAAATAGTTACCGACTTTGTATTTATATAAACTAAATAAAAAATAACAAGCGGATAATTAAGTCAATTCAAAATCCCGGCTGGCCAGCGAAAAAATTTATTTTAGCAATTTTTATAGTTACCGCAATTTTCATATTTCTCCCGCATAATACCAAATTTCTCCCGCAATTTTCATATTTCTCCCGCAATTTAAAAATTTTGATCTGGCAACCCAAGTCCTATCTAAGATTCTCAGCAAGTCAAGCCCATGGTTTCAATAGTAATATAGGATAAGGAGGAAGATATCTTTATAACTCAAATGAATGAAATAGGTCTCTGATTAATCATTTATTATTCGTAATAATCCTTCCATAGATAAGAACTTATCCTCCCTTTATGAAAAGCGAATACAAAATTTATTAATTTAAAAATATATATAATATATTAATATATTAATATTATGGAAAGTCTTTAAATGTTTTTCCATTGCAAATATTTTTATGTGGTTCGGGTCAAAATTCTTTTATAAAAATGGCGAGATCAGATGGTGGAGAGGGGTGGGGGAGGGGTGTGGGTATGTTTGCAGGTTTCTCTAATATAAAAAATGCTTAAAACCATTCAAAATAATCACGTGAAATAAATTACTTGTGGAATAACTGACATTTTACGGAATGAAAATTTATCTATTTCCGGGAAAAGGAATTAGCACATCGAACTAAAATAATTTACCATAATAACCTCGACCCTCCTCCTACCCGAACTTGCTTTTTACATATAAAAGTATCCTAACATTTTGAAAATATTTTTCAAAAATGAATGGCAGAGGTATATTTAGGAATGATTTCACATGTAGGAAATCTGTTACATGCTGTTAATGTGTAGTTGCAATAAGAAGAATCTTAACAAAAATTCACAAAATTATGCTGCAGATGTGTTCATCTTTACAGTTAAAAATTGACAATAAATTTTATGGTGCCATTGCTAATATTTAATTATATTTTATTTGAGATTTAATTAATAGAACTAAATGTTTACGGTCGTTATTGAGATATTTATAATATTCCTGGCATGACATATTATATATTTGTTTAACCATTAGCTCGGCCTCTAATGTTGTTAAAGCAATCCAATTTCTCTCCTTTTTCCAGGCAGTCCATACGCTCAGATGAGGCATTAGAATGAGGTAAGGAGAAGGCATACTCGCATATTTTTTCAAGCATGGGGATTTATCGTTATTACGAAAAAATTCTACCTATTTCTCCTCTTAGACCATCTAACTTTAAGTATATTGGCGAATCATAAGAAATAATGAGAATTACAATCTCCTCAAACAAGGTATCAATGTCTTTTAGTATTTTTAATATATTTATTAAATTATAAAAACCATCAATTGATAGTTCTTCCAAGGTCATAATATTTATACATTTGTAAATAGAGTTATTAAAATCAAATTTTGATTGTAAATATTCTAAAATTGTCTTAATAAAAATATCTGCTTCAGTTAAAAATTTATTAATTTAAGTATTATTTGAACATTTAGTATAATATTTTTAACAATAACGCCATAAAATTTATTATCAATTTTTAACTGTAGAGATGAACTGAGCTGTAGCATGATTTTGTGAATCTTTTTTATAAAGTATACTCTCAACTGTATCCTGCTAACATTTCCCTTTCCTAGGGAAATGTGGATACAGTCGGATGCCTTGGCCTTTATGGCTTAAGCATCCCAAGGCTTTTATTTCTTAAATCAAAACAAAGTATATAGATTATCTTGAATAAATTGTGGGTACAACGTTTACCAATACAAGATATAATACGAAAATAAACAATAATGGTGTATAACGCTAAATAATAATATATTTATATAAATAAATATGCGCAGATGAATCGTTCTAATTTGTATTCATTATTCTTTGGTTTTGATTTGATTTGAGGTTGTTGCCTTGTTTATAATTCAGAGCTATGAATGCTCAGTTGTTCTAGAGTCAGCGGTAATGGTTGTTGACCCTAACGATAAGTTTGATCCTAACGATAAGTTTGATATTAGCGACGGTGTTCTGATTGTTGACTCGTTTCCGAATAGGGAGGTCTCCTCGTCATGTAACATCATGGGTCCCGTGAGTGGTGGTCCTTCGAAGAGATTTCGGTTACTCGTATCTCCTATCCATGGTTCTTGATGGCTCATCCGCAGGGTTTTCGTCTGTGGGGATCCATCGGATATTTTGTGATAGTGCCGTGAAGTCTTGGTAATCCCTAACTTGAAGAGCATACTTGTGATTACTATTTCCAGTGATGGTGACCTGGAACCTCCTTTCCGTAGGGAGTAGTATGCAACGGTAGAGTCTGTGTAGATGAGTGGGTACTTGGTTGTCCTTGTTGATGGCTAATAGCGTTCCCACGCCTACAGCTAGTATTTCTTTGGCGTTAATATGCTGTATTGCGTGCATTGGCACATTGAGGAGGAGCGCTGCTTCTGTGTATGATATGGACATATCTTGGTAGCCCCAAAACGATATACCCAATATGTGAGTCCGATGCATCGGTGTATACTGGATTTACTGCGGCGTATCGTATTCGTAGGGGACATTCCAGAGGCCGTTATTATAACTTCGGCTTTTCTGAATGCTAAATATGTGTCGACCAGCGGGGCTAGTTGTCCTTCCATTAGGGTAATGTAGTAGGGCGAGAAGAGTCTAGACATGCCGGTGATCGTATACGCAAAATGGTTCACCACTCCTAACACTTTCGCTGCTAAAATTCTGCCTATTTCCAGATGTTGGTAAGAGTGTCTTCTGAAAATTGCGAGGCATCACGTTAGTCTTCTTCGTGTGGTGTTGTCAGCATTCAAGGTTTTATTTTCCAGGTTTATGGGGACTCCTAAGTATGTTATGAACGGCGTGGGATCTATACCAATTTATCCTGGGATATTTCGAGGCCCCAGCCTTCCAGAGTGCATCTAAGTGATCTGGTGGACCACTTTACATCGTTTTCATTATCCCCGTATATTAGAATATCGTCTAGGTATACGTTGTAACTGGCTCGTCTTACTGTTTTTGCATATGCGTCTAGGATAATAGACTGAAGACATTACGGGCTGAATGATGCACCCATCTGGAGGACTTTGTATGCGTAGTAAGTTCCGTGTATTTTGAACCCGAAGAACTTTCGCACTTGTTCTGCTAACGGTATCGAAAAGAATGCGGATTTGATATCTATTTTACATGCATATTTCGCTTCGTTTAACTTGATGGACATCAGTGGAATGGATTTTAGCTTAAACGGCTAGTGTAAGAAATTCTTTGATGTCTCGGAGAAGTCACTGATGACTCTTGGCGTGCCGTTTGCCTTGGGGATAACGTATAATGGTGAGCAGATTTGACTGCTATCTGTTTCTATAACGATATCGGCGGCTATCATTTGCTGAACGATTCCATAGTATCGTTCGGAAATGGCGTGGCTGTTTCTATGTGTAAAGTAGTGTCCCTCATTGCTGTTTATTCTTAGGGTGTCTAATCTAGGTCTGAAGCCACGGGCGGCAACGCGTCTCGTGAAGTTTGACATTAGTGGACCGGGAGTCAGCCTTGCTCTACTAATGTCAAGTTTTGGGTCATTCCTCAGCTGTTCGTCCGTAAAAGTCGCATGCGAATTCACCCCAGTTATTCCATTCAAGATACCTGGTAAGTTGGGAATTGCTGTTGACCCTACCTGGGGCATACCAGAATCATCTCCCTCACTGAAGATTGCGTCTTCAAGTCCGGAGATGATGGACGTTGCTTCGGGATCGCCGTCACTGCTAGATTCCCATGTCATGGTTGATGTGTTTGGTAACCACCATTCGGGGATTCCTGAATCTTCGGAACGAAACGATGGAATATCGGAGTTTGATCTAGCAGGTTGATTGGCCGGTATTTGCTCGGGGGCCGACGGGGGATGATTATTGTTGTTATTTTCGTCATCCGAGCTAATAC